CTGGTTTTGCGCTGTGTCACGCTAACCACCGCACCGCACACACACACTCATGCGCGAGTCGGCTCAGACCACAAAATGTATCGGAGCTATTTGAATTCTACACATAATGCTATATTTTATAGCAATATGGATGAGATTGTGGCGGGCATACCCTGTCAAATGCAGCTTTACGGAGCTAAATGGCTCTAGCCCAAGCTGTGATATAAACGAACGCTATTGGCTATTTTAAAAAGGGTCCTGCCCTGTCTTCCTGTTTCAGTTAAAATGACATCAACACATAGAGTAACACTGCGTGTTTCTAAGCATTTCAGGGGACCTTTAAACCAGATTATAATCCTCAATGCATTCCATTTCTCTTCCATGTGACATTGAAGTTACATTTAGCACATTTTGCAAAGGATTGTGTGGAATGGAGTCCATGACAGAGTGTCAATGGTATGGGATGGACTGCTATCTGGTGGCTATCAAGGGCACTCCAGCTGGTGATCGTGACATAGTCCCCTCCTAAGGAGTACCTTCCAGATGCTCCTCAACATGATCAAAGACGTCCAGGAGGGAGAAGGAGTGGAATTGGACCAAGGGGCGGGGTCCACGGATTGGAAAAACTGGAGACAAGGGCCAAGACCAAGGTGGGGCCGGCAGAGGGGGAAGCCAGGGCTGAAGACAACCAGGGCGGAGCAAGCGGAGCTGAAGACACCCACAGCTGATCAGATGGAACCAAAGATCCCCAAGGTGGAACGGATGACCACCACAGCAGAGCAGATGGGACCGAAGATCCCCACGGTGGAGCAGAAGACCACCAAGGTGGAGCTGATGGAGCTGATGACCACTTCAGTGGAGATGATGGCGCAGGGGATCACCAAGATGGCTCAGACTGAGCAAATGTCCACCACAGAGGAGAAGGTGGAGCAGTAAACCACCACGGTGGATCAGGCGGAAATAGAGAGCACAGAGAGGTTAACAATGGCCACTGTGGCTGTAACAGGGCAGGCCAAGAGTTCAGAGATGATCTCTGTTGTCATATCAAGGCAGACAAAGAGTACAGGGACAATCTCCGTGGTTGTGTCAAGGCAGGCAGAGAGTGCAAGGTTAACCTTCCTGGTTGTGTCTGGACAGGCCTCCTTGGCCGTGACAGGACAGGTAAAGAGCTCAGAGAAGGCCTCCTTGGCTGTGACAGGACAGGCAAGGGATTCAGGGACGGCCTCCGTTGCCATGACAGTACAAGTAACAAGCCCAGAGATGGCCTCTCTGGCCATGACGAGACAGGCAAGGAGCTTGAAGATGGGAACCACAGGACGGGAAGATACTGAAAGCACTGGACTAGTGACCATTATAACTGGACATGCTGGGGACCATGGTGGGCCTAGCTCCATGGACACCAGTTTATTGTGCCCTCCTCCCCCTATGTGTCCTCCTTTGGTTCTCCAACAGTAAAGATGGAACCACTTAATAAAAGTTCATAATCCAAATATTCAGTCAGTGACCCTCGAGAACCATCACAGATGAGTTTAGATTGATAATGTTCATTCAGTCCATAACAAAACAAATCGCATAGTCTGGGAGGTCAGAGGACTTTACAATGTCCAGAAAGTCCTGGATGTGGTCCTCGAGGGACAGCAAACTGACGTATCCTTTCCAAGATCATAATCTCATAGTGGTAGTGTGTCAGTTGAGTCAGGAGATTGCCTGATTTTGCAGCGG